CTAATCATGTTTTGGGTGTACTATTCCTTTAATGAAGCAAGAGCAGCATATTTCTCCTCAAAATGTGAAATAGTTTGTTCAGTTTATCTTTAGTTATTGGCAAAAAAATATATAAATTCTTCCTGGTCAAGTGAAGAAAACTGAGACAAGTGAATGAAATATTTGCTTAAAAGAAGCAGACTTATCAAGGAGTGGAGGGACGGTCCAGGCAGAGGTGAAGGGGGTTGTGTCAGCGGTGGCAAAGGGCACACACTCAGTGGACAGGATGTAACATGATCACCAAAAGACCTCCTGAGCATGAGCTCTGAGCTGGCTTTGGATTGTAAAAGTGATTATCGAGGGGTATAATTGTACAGCCGGGACGCTCACCTCTTGCTGAAGGCATGCAGACCAAAACCACAGTGCTCAACCTAGTCATCGCGCCAACTCCTTGACCCCCACCGCCCCCCGCAGACATCTCTGCAGCTGACCCTTGGAGGCCCCATGTTGGGGAGGTAGAGAGAAGCAAGGGAAATATCTAAAGTAGCGCCTGTCAGCAGCTGCCCTGTGGCATCCCGGGAATCTGCCCTCCAATGGGTGGGTGAGGACAGGCAGCAGGTGCAGACCCATCTGGATCCCCACCGCTCACACCTGATGCGTTCACCTGACGCACCTTATATAAGACCAATCGCTGTCCTGCTTTGGTGCAGGTATTTCAGGTGTAAGGGATCAGCACCTCCTGGGGGGGGTGCTTTGATGAACATGTGAAGAAAGGAAGCGTGATTGATCAGAGTCATGAGGGTTGTCCGGAGGCCGTCGATGGACCACTGTGGTCTCAGAGCTCACAGCTTCAACAGATGGCAGCGCTAACCCTGGGATCAGGTTGCATTGTTTCTAGGATTCAGTTGTTTATTCACTATTCACTTTTAAGTTTATGTGGACACAAGTCAACAACCTGCCTGACCCGGTTGTGTCTCAGCTTAGCAGCTGTCGGCCGTTTTATGAGCTTTCAGTCCCAACTTTATGAGCCATTTATTCTGGGATTCGTATTTCCAAATGAGAAGTTGTGGTCAGGTTGTTTTTTTTGTATCGCACTGTGGTTGACTGTACAGAAACACAAAGCTGCGTAAAGCTATGATGGAGGGCGATCTTTTATTTCATTGTGTTATGTCTGACATTCCAGATGTGTGACCTTTTAAAAACCATTCCTTTCACATCTGAAGCTATTTTCAGGCATCATACTGTACCTAAAACCATCACTGTTTGAACAACCCTCTGAATGCCATTGATGTTTTTTTTTTCTTTATCAATCTAAATCGTTCAATTGATGTTTTCCAACATCACAGCACCTTTAGCCTTCGGCTCTCCAGGGAAAAGCTAAACAAAAAAAGCATCACAGCAGTTTTCTACACATTATATAAAGTCAGAGGTTGATGGCAGTTTAGTATTATCCTCCCTAAGACGACCCCTAGTATTCATACATATTAAGACTTTTACAGGATTAGCCA